CGCTCGGAAGGGGAAGGGGAAGGGGAGGGGGAGCAGGGGGAGGAGAGCGGGGAAGGGGGCAGTAAAGCAGCAAGGCCAAAGTGAAATTAGTAAAACAGCAACTGGCTTGAGAATGTGCTGTGGCCACTTTCTCAAAAATGTTTTGAAACAAAATCTTAAAATGCTCCTGTTACGGCGTTTCTTACATAACACTAACCCTGATACCAAAACCAGCAACAAAAAAACTGCAGCTCTGTACTTCCTGTGTCAGCAGAAAATGTTATTTTTTTTTTAAATTCTTGAGAAACAATTATGAAAACCAACAACATCATGCCAAATATTTCAGAAGCCGCTCAGGAATTCTAATGTCCTACAGTAATTGGGATGCTTTATTATGATAATCATATAGTAACATGAAAATTCAGCTTCTACCAGGAGAGAAAAATGTTAAAGCTGAGTACACTAAGGCTATTTCTGCGTGTTCAGAGCGTGTGCCACACGCTCCTGAGAGCCGTTGGAGAAAAACGGAATCAGGGGATGTGCTGAGTTGTGGACTACAGAGAACTTTTTTTCTTAAAAGTTTAAAATCTTAATCTGAACCTAAAATCCAAATCTTAAGACTAAAATCTTAAATCTTAAAATGTATAGAGAAACAGAAAATGCTCACTGTCATCTATTCCTATATGCATTTCTATATACTTTTGAAGTGCTAAGAAGTTGGCCCATTTAGAAATCAGAAGGCAGGCGGAAGTGCTCTTTAGTGGCTGTTACTATAATAGAAGTCTCCACCATGAGACAGAATTGGGAACCTAAGGAAAGTGTGGATAATGATGTTTGTGTCTCAGCAGCATTCTCCCTGAATGCATAAAAATACAGCTCCTGAGTTTCTGTCTCCTCCCACCCACTACCACTTATCACCAGCTGATGCAAAGGTGCAATCACAATACTGAAGTTGGAAGGGCCCTTGAAGATTTTCTAATCTAAACCAGTGAGTAAAGAAACCTCGATGTTACACCAGGAACAGCTAGGGGGTGGAGATGTAGTTATACCTGGAGAAGCTTAAATCGAGGGAGGAAAGAAGGTAGCCCATTTTCCCCGTTTAGATGGTCTTCTTGAAGAAGAGGCGTGGCCAGGCTCTGAAGGCGGATGAGCCGTGCAGCTTCAGGGAGTTAGGTTTGCGTGCAGTAAGGAAGAGCCTGCTCCTATTCAGGTTGCCTAAAGCTACTGCATGCTGCATTGCTGGGTAATGAGTCACTCGTTACTAAAGATATTCTGCTCTAAAAACCACTTGGGCCCTGGCCAATGTGACTCAGGTGGTTGGAGCAACGTCGGTGCACAGAAAGGTTGTGGGTTCCATCCCCGGTGGGGGGTGCCTGCGAGTGTTTCTCTAATAAATTGATGTTTCTCTCCCTCCCCCTCTCTCTAAAGTCAGTAAAACATATCCTAGGGTGAGGAATTAACAAAACACTTGCGAGGGATTTGGACTGCAGTGCTAACTAAACTTTAATGTTCACTGGCATCACCTGAGCCAGTGAGCATTAAAGTTTAATGTTGTTAAACTTGTTAAAATTCTGATTCAGTAGGTCTGGGTGGGGCAGAGCACGTGCATTTCTAGCAAGCTCCCAGGTGATGCCAGTGCTGTGGGTGAAGACTGTGGCTTATCAAGGACGCAGCTGGATTACAAGCATTAGAATGTTATGTAACCAGTGTTTCCCAAAGCACAGTCTTCTAACCAGATGACTTCAAAAGTCCTCTTTATCCATGATTTGGGGGCAGATGATTAATAAATAGGTTAAGTGGTTAGAAGCAGGATTTTACGAGTCCACACATTCAAATCTCCAAAAACAGTTTGTATCTTGCAGTACCTGCCAGGTCATACTTCTGAGCAATAACTAATGTTGCACAATTCTAAGGAAGAAATGTTTTACTTCCATTAAAAAAAAAATGCTCTTATTCCAAGCCTGGCAGATAAATAAGCATTTTCTGATGAATGAAAGAAGGAATAAATAAATGCATTCAAAATGCAATTATTTATGATGTTAGTATACTACAGTTAACAGAGAAGTAGGATGAAAGGAAATCATCCTACAAAATAATTTCTCCCAGTGATCTGTGTTGTAAAATCTCCAAAGGTGGGGAGGGGGAAAGTGTCCCGAGGCTATGATTCATAGGGCTCTTTATCAATGTAGAGTGCTGCATTATTTTTCTAACCCTGGAATTCACCTCCCTACCACCTATCTGAATCAAAAAAATTCCTTTGATGCTTAGAAAGCTCCGTTTCTTGCTTGCTCATATTTTTGCTCTGCTCTCCTACTTAGTTAATAAATATGGGCTTGCAGTCTGTTCAAAGTCCCTTCTGATATCTTTCCTGGATAAATATGCTAATATTTGAACACAAAGACTTTCCTCAGATTTTAGAGCATTCTTAGGCTTCTCTCCCAGAGAAAATAAACCCGCAACGAAGGGGGAACCAGTTTCCAGCCTTTCCTCTGACTGAAAATCCTCCTTCCAATGGGTTTACTGTTGTGTGGGGAAGG